AAGTCAGCTGAGAGCCGGGCATGACAGCACACAACTGTAGTCCCAGCTACTCAGCCGAGGCACGAGGACGGCTTGAGCTCAGGGCCACCACCCTGCGACACATGAATATGCCGAACCCAAAAGACCACAAGATTGGCTGCTGAACAGTTGCCAGGCACCAGGCACAGTATTCCCGCTGCCTCCAGAAAACATGACCATAATTTCTGAATAAAATTCAAAGATAACACATTTGGAGCTAAGAAGCTCCTTTAAAACATGCATAACGCAATCTTGAAACAAATATGCATACCCATAAACTATTCGTCCTGCCACTGAAATCCCCAAAATAAAGAATTCACAAATTACAGTAATCCAAGAAATTATATATTCTTTAAAGGTGGAATCAACACTAATTCTGGATGCCAACATCAAACTGGATATCACAGCAAAGAATTAAGAGTATGTTAATTTTACAATTTAAAGTTGTAGGCAGAACCAGGTATGGAAATACACACCTGGGATCCTAGCACTCTGGAAGGCCAAGGCAGCAGGATTTAAATTCTAGCCCAGCTTGGGCAACATAGCAATTTGTTGAGACCCCCATCTCAAAATAAAAAAAAATTTAAATGATTGTTACTAGACTAAAGCCTGCTACAAAGCTGGCATTCATTAAGTAGTAATAATCATTATTATTTGAATTTTCATTTTAACAAATGCTTTAATAATCCAGGCACTTAAGCACATAATCTGTCACTTAATTTTTTAAAAAGTCATTACTGTCAAAATATCTTACTGAGTGCAGCCACTTTAGAAAAATCACAAGAAGTGAAAAGGTCCAGGTGGCATAACCCTACAATCTCAGCCAGGTGGAGGCTGATGCAGGAAGATCATAAACTGAAGGCTGAAGATATAGCTCAGGAGTGAGATGCTTGCCTAGCGCACACAAGGCCCCAGATTCAATCTCCAGGATCTCAAAAAAAAAAAAGTGAAAAAGGATTTAAGAATATAAATCACTACCCATTGTGACCTCGTAAAGTTCTGAATACAATAAACACAGCTCCAAGATTATCTGATTGCCATCCATCCTAAAAACAATAAATTCCTCTTTAACCTAATTTTAATTTTAAAAGTAAAATTATTGGAATATTCACCTTAAGAGTCAAAAACACTCACAAAACAGAAAATAAATATCCAGCTACATTTACCAACTGTGAAATACCCAGTTTAAATGCAATTCATATAAAATAGGTGCCATTAAGAATGGCAAACTTATACAAACATCATTTTTCATTTTATTCACTCCTTCAGCAAAAAATTTACAAATCATTTTTTAAATAAGGCACTAATGTTTTCAGTCTCTACGAAACAAATGATTTAGTTTAAATTTAGTCTTTCAATCAACTAAAAGTTATTTAACATCAAGGAAATTTTTTTTGAGGTGCTAGGGACTGAACCCAGGCAGGGCCTCATGCATGCTTGGCAAACTCTCTACCCTGAGCTACACTCATAGCATCATGAAGGCAATTTTTATTGCTGGCTATAATTTAAATTATTGGAGTGTCCATTCATAAAGTATCCTTAAAGACAATCAGAAAGATAGCAAACTAGTTAAGTTAGGACATGTCCTTTCTGCCAACAACAAATAGTTAAACTACATCTAAATCTAAAGTCGATATTAAAGTTTCACAATCTGACTTCAGTTTTATACTCTGAATGACATCACTCAGCATGCGGGACACTCAACTGGAAAAAAAGAGGGCAGATTAACTCTGAATCTAGTAATATTAACAATAAGATACTGGCTTAATTTATTTAAAGATTGTGTTCAATGAATGTTAAAAGTTATGTGACGATCCTGAAATTTAGAATCCATGAGGAGATACTACTCTCTGTGTATCAGTCATTTTCCAGGTAAATCAAGCAACGGCAGTTAAAATGCCATATCATAATTTGTTCCTCCATCAGTCAGCCCCATCCTCAAATGTAGCATGTGTTTAGTAAATATAGTACTTGAACCATTCAATCCTCTTAACAATCCTGAGCTATAAATTATCATCTTATCCCAAATTTAAAATCCAAAGCCATGGGGATAGATCCAAGCCATCCCACATAGTGTTTAATACCTTGCCCTAAAGTCATGAAGCTAGTGACTGTCTAATTCCGACTTTAAAATTCTTATTCTTTCAACTATACTATGTCATCTACATAGCATTAATTATTATTAACTCAATAGTTGTTCTTTCTAAATTATTTTCTGGCATTTTTGCTTTTCAAATAAAAAATCCTCAAGAGCTATTATCCCTTCTACATTCTCCAATACACATCTGATGGCGGTAATTCCAGCAGTCATTCCTTCCTTCCCAAGAAACTGAGATCTCTGATTTGGGAACCGTATATGGGGATCCTTGTTCCAAAAGAAGTCTGGGAAAGCAGATGGCCGGCCAAGGCACTGCTTCAAAGTAGCCACGTGACTTACACTAACCTCATCAGACTGAAGTGCAGAATTTCTGAAAGTGTTGGACCAAAGACGTAATTTAAGGCAATATGTGGCCCCAGAAGCTGGGGGCAACCATCTTTGGTTGAGGGAAAGCTAACCAGTATCATCACTGAGAGGCTTAAACCATTCATGTACTTGGTCTTTTAACTACATGAAGCTGAAACTTGTCTTGAATGGACTTTACTCGGGCATCAAGTCCTCTGTGAAATCTTCACATAAACCAGCTTGAGTCAGGTTTTGGGTTACATTCAAATACTCCACAGTAACAGATTTTTACTAGGGTGCTTCTCATTTCATTGCAATTTACTTATTATTCTCTTAGTCATAGAATGTCCTCTCCTCCTGTCAACACTTCTCAACTATTGGATACATACTATGTACCAAGCGTTGGGTGAGCTGCTTAACCCAAATCATCCCTTACTATTGAAAACAAATCTATATCCAAAATATGGAAAGGAAATTTTACCTTCACCATTTCATATGTGACAAAACTCACTCAACTGAGTGGCATTCTTAATAGACATAGCTAATACTTTGAATAGCCAAAATTCAAAAGTAGGTTTCTGTGGCTCATAAGTACTTGGACTTTTAACTACAGGAGGCTGAAATTTGTCCTAAGTGGTCTTTATTCAGGCATCAACTCCTCTGGAAAGCCTTCTATATTCATTTCCGTATTTTAGGAACAGCATACTCAGAGAAGAGTATCACAATGTATTGTTAACCATATGTCTAGACACCGAGAATACAAACTCCACAGCATAGTAGAGTCCAGACAACTGCAGGGTCTCCCAGTGTATGACACCAAAAAAGTGAGCAGTATGTGTGAAATAAGAACTAAACAGACAAATGAAGTCCTATCCACTACAGATTAAATTCCACTGAAATGAACAATTCTCATTATACCAAAATATCCTTTTATACAGACTGTCTCTAAAAGCATGGACTGTAGAGTGAAATCTGAAAATATTTCCCTAATATTACATATTTGCTGCAAGGGAATACTTTCTATACTTATAAAGAGCTACACAGAATCAGAAATTTGGTTGGGGGTGTGGCTCAATGGTAGAGCACTGACGCAGCACGAGAAATACCCTATGTTCAATACCAGCCCCAAAAAAGCAAAGAAAAAAAAGAAATATTAGAAATCTGGAAGTATCTCAAAATACATACTTTAAATACTTCCAAGACCTGTATTTAGTACTGTCAAAGCAGAACATGCTTCTTAAGCACATATTAAAGTTCCAACACTTTAAACAAACTGGACCATGAGCTTAACTTTAGAACCAAAGTTGTGCAACACAGGGTCCCTTTACTTCCTAGCGTTACTTAATTTATAAATGGAAAGCACGAAGCAGACTATCTCCTAGGTACCAGCTACCTCTGACAACTTCTCTGAGGGTCACTACACAGTAACCTGTGGAACATTCCTATCACACCATTTTAACGTTCAGCATAGAACATTCTTGCCCCGACACTTTTCCTGAATTTACTTATGAATTACCTCTTCTTCCATTAAATTAAGTATGTATTTACCAGCATATCCCAGCTTCACTGAAATCTATTGGGCACTCAAAAAATGTTTGTAATACTCATGGGAAACTAATACTGCCTCACTGCCCAAATTACAAGGGGAAAAAAGGTAAACAGTAGTAGACTACTGGGAATGTCCTGCATTTTTCAACCTTTGAGAAATCCGGTTTTTCATTTAGTATGTACTTTGAGTTACTAATCTTACAAGGATTTTGAGAATGAGAAATAATTAGTAACTACCACTTCAATAACTTGATCTGAATCCCAGATGATTAGTATACAGGAGCATCTTAGCAGTTCCAAAATCCTCCACAAACTTTCCAAATGAAATTTCACAATATTAAAAATCTTATCAAACTACAGGTTAATGAAGCAAACAAGAGAAAAACCATCGGAATAACCCAAGTCGGTAATCTCCATATTTCTAAAACAATGGCGTCCTCCCATGTCCCATTTCTGAGAAGAGTCAGGACTCCGGGGTATTGATCCAGGAGTCTCTCAGACACAGCCACACAACCAGCCAATGCTTTATTTCCATTTAAAACTTTGCCCCAACTGCCCCAGACTCTCTGGATTGGAAAGCTGAAGCCCTACAAACTCATAGCTGCTTCCCTGCCTCCCCCTCCCCCAATGAATCCTCTCCAACTTTCCTCTTGGGGTTGGCGTCTCTGCCATCCTAACGTCTTCACGCCGCTGCACTTCCGAAGTGCCTGCTCCTCCGGGGTCCCGGATACGCCAGAGCCCAGGAAAGCGGCTGCTCCCCGCCCGCTTCCCCGGCGGCCGGCAGGTGCCGGGCTGGGGACCGCGGCGGGCGCCGGGGCGGGGCGCACAAAGGCCCGCGTGGCCCTCCCGGCCCCTCGCGCCTCCCGCAGCCCAGCCCGGGACCGACCAAGCCGGGACTGCAGGGCGCTCGCCCTGGCCGCCCTCCCCTCCCTTCCCCTCCCGCCGGCCCGGCCTGGCCCGCAGCGCACCGCGCCCGCCCAGCGGCACTCACAGGCTGCCGGAGCAGGAGGTGCAGACGAAGGAGCCGATCGTCATGTTCACGTAGGTGGGGCCGCGCTGGTCGCAGTCGAAGCACTTTCGGTTGTGCGGGAGGCCGGTCATGTCCCGCAGCATCTTCAGGTGCTTCTCCTCCTGCTTGCGCTTGGCGCTGGCCGCCATAGCCGCGGCGCCGGGGCAGCGGCAGGGCCGGGAGCCGGACGGCGCTTGCCGGGGGCCGCGGTCCCACTGGCCGCCCTGGCCGCGGCCGCCGCCCTCTGTCAGCGCGCGCCACCCGCGCCGGACCCGGCCGCTGCGAATCGGCTCGGCTCGACTGGGCTCGACGCGGCGCGGACGCTGCGGGGCGCGCACGGACGGCTCACAGCAACCGGCCCGCCCGGGACAACCGCCGCCACCGCCGCCGCCGCCGCCACCTTCCCGACTTCTCCTGCGGGGAAAAGGCGAGAAAGGGGGGCAGCAAGAGGAGGCTCGCCGCGGGCGGCCGGAGGCCGAGTGTCGGCTCGCGCCCCCTGCTGACTCGGAGGAGCCACTGCGGCCACGCTGAGGCCGAGGGCGGGGCGGGGCGGGGCAGAGTAGGGAATGCGCGATAAATAATGGACAATATTGATTGAGTGAGTGCCTGTGTGTGCCAAGCGCTTCACATGGGTTGCCTTCCTGACCATTGCTCTGGGGATCATTCCAAATTCTTCGTTGTGGCCTAAAAACGCTCCCGGGCTAGCTCAGTCTTCCCTCATCATTTATTCAGCACCCTGGATTTGCAAGCCCCTTTCCCACTCCTGCCCTCGCAGGGTTTCTCAGGCTCGCCGTTGTTGACACGTGGGGCAAGTTAATACTTCGGTGTAGGGGCTGTTGTATAGGATTTTGGGCAGCTATCCTTGGCCTCCACCCGCTAGATGCCATCATGAACCCTTCTGCGGCTTGTCAGTGCCCCAAACCCCAAGATACGGCATTGCCAGATGTGGAGGGAGATTCGAGAGGGTGAAAACCACAGCTGCACATGGAAGACAGGACCACTGATGGCAGCTGATGTCCCATTAGTCACGTGGGGTGCAGCTGGCACCTCAGCCAAGCTGTCTTGGGTCTACCCCAGCTCACCTATGGAAAGCTGCCGCCCATCGCATTGGGTGTCCTCCCGAGGCATGGAGGCACTCGCCTGTAGTCCCAGCACGCTGGGAGGCTGAGGCGGCAGGATGGCAGGTTTAAGTTGCTGGGCAACTTAGCAACTTAGCGACCCCATCTCAAAATTTTTAAAAAGGGCTGGGGATGCAGCTCAGTGCAAAGGCCCTGCATTCAATCCCCTGTGCAAACAATAAATTAAATAAGTAAATTGCTGTGTTGTATTTTCTTCATGGTTCCAGTTTTTTGAATGCTGCCCCTTATTTAATGTGCTCTATGTATGTCATAGGCCTCTCCCTGGACACTGTCCACAGCTGCTGCCCTGTATGTTCCTCACTTCTCCACCCATGCCGTGCCCAGAGCTTGATACCAAGTGCTCAGTGTTCGTGGAATGAATGCATGAGACAACCCCGGGAGGTGAGCATGATTGGTATTTCCATTTCCAGAGGGTGAAGCACTGGGGGAGTGAGTTTACCTGAGTATTCATACAGGGAAGCAGGGATTCCCACCCAGTCATGCTGTAGGACCCAGATCTCTTTATCTCGGCAAGAATCAACTGCCAGCAGCATGTTAAAATCCCTGCACCTCATCAGAGACCTGGAGTCCCAAATCATTCAGCGTTGAATGGGAAGCTGTCACAAAAGGTTCTTAACTGCCAAGGCCTACATCCAGCACTCCTGGGAAAGTGACTAGATAAATCGGCCCTCGGAGACTCCATGTTAACATAACACTATTAATAATAGTGCTTTTAGTGTTGAAAGAGAGGAGCAGATAGCTTGGCCAATGGATTTTTAAAAACTCTTGCCTTTATGGAAAACATTATACTATCATGAGCCTATGGCGCATGTTCAGCAACTGTCAGTTCAGTTTTAATCCTGCTTTACAGAGGCCCTGACCCATCTCTCCATCCCCCATCCTATTATTTTGAAGCAAACCATAGCTATCCTACCGTTCATCTGCAAGTATTTCAGTTTGTATCACTAAAAAATAAAAATTCCCTCTTTCTTATTCTTAACCACAATACCTTCAACACACACAAAAAGTTATTATTTTCTAAAAATGTTATTAATATCCAACACTGTTAAGCATTTATGTCATTGTTATTTTAAAAGATTTCTAGTTTGTTTGAATCCACACCTGACCATTGCAGCTTGACAATATATTTCATAAAGTCTCTTTTTTCTTCTCTTTTTCCAGTAGAGTTTCTCATAGTCTTGGACATTTAACGTGTTCCTCTGTCCTATTTCCTAAAAATTGGTAGTTGGATCTAGTTCACTTGTATCTAGTTCATCTTGGGGAGGGTATTTTATTCTGTTTTTCCATCAGGAGACACTTAGTTGGGTGTTCTTTTAGCTATTATCAGCTGGCCATGATTAATGTCTAGATTCAATCATTCATTAAAGATTACAAGCTAATGGTAGAAATTCTGTCATTCCCACTTCCTTTTTTAGCAAAATATTTTTATAAAGAAAAAGCATCCCTTGATCTACCATTTGGTATAGTTCATCTCAGAAAGATAAATGTTTCATTCCTTTATTCATAAATTTTTAAGATAATATATTGGTTTTGTATCACCATCCAGTGGTGACCACTGGTTTTCAAGTATCGTTATAAGGTCTGGATGGGATGTATTAGCAGATATCCTGGCTGCTCACATTGTACCATTGTTGTCTGCTGAAAGTTGGCTGTTGAGTTTTTTGACAAAACCCTGATACATAAGGTCAAGTGGACTTCTAATCTGGCAGGGCTCCAGCCGTCCAAGACATCCGGGCACTGAAATGTCGCATCCTGGAGTGATCAAAACAGAGCTCAGCTCCACTTTGGCTACAAGGAAGACACTACCAATCTCTTACTTCTTACCGGCAGCTGTGCTCGCCCGCGGCCAGTGGCTGTGTTCTGTATTTGCAGGGTTCATTTAGCATTTGTTCGTTCTCTAGTTATTCATCCCGGCAAGGTCTCTCATCGGACAGATTCCAAAGCCACAAGACATGACTGTAGCACCTTCTACAAACATATGAATGAGTGGTTATTTTGTTGTTCTGAAGAGTTGGTATCTCCAAACTCTTTCTCAAAAATGAAATTTCGGCAAAATCCAAGATGTTATTTTTTCCAAGAAGAGGTGAACGTTCCTGCTGGATGTTGGCTCTTTTAGTGTATGTGCTGCCGAAGTGAGCTCGGATGTTGGCTCTTTTATACCATATATAATATCAAGGCAGGTTTCTACTTTTAAAAATTCCAAGGAGACTTTATTGCGTATCAAGCAAGACTGTTTATTTTCATTTCCTTAACGCTCACAGCAAGGCAGAAGGGGGTATTATTATCCCGTTTTATGTAGGAGGAAACTGGCTGGCTTCCCCCAGGCCATGGGAGGAGTGAAGCTTGAAGCCAGGATTCCAACCCAGATCTGTAAGGCCTTGGCCTTTGCTCCACATGATTGAATCCTGACCCTGCAGTCACTGGACTTATAGGGCAGAGCTTTACCTGTCCAGATGCTGGCTCAGCTGGGCATGGTGGCACATGCCAGGCAATCTCAGCTCTCTGGGAAGCTGAGGAAGAGAACCACAGCCTGGAGCCTGGTCAACTCAGCAAGTTAGCAAGAGCCCTTCCCAAAATAAAATATGGAAAAGGGCTGGGGAGGACCTCAGGCCAAAGGCTCTGGGATCACTCCCTAGTACCAGGAATTGAGAGAGAATTTACCCCTTCAGCTAGCTAAATTTTTTCTTAATGCACGACAGACTGCCCCATTGCCCTCCTCCCACTAAAGCCTTTTGGGGACTTCCCATTGCTCCTGTGATGAAAAAACCCAGGATGCTCAAAAGGCCCGCACAGGCCACCACCCCCATGCTAGGTCCCTCCCTCCCTGGCCCAGCCCCCAGTGCCCCAGGGACTGCCCTGGTCTCCACCACTCTGCTCCAGCTCTATTTCTTCTCCTCTACCACAGATCCTTTTTGATGCTGCTTTTGTTGCCGAAAACCAACATTCTGTCTCTTCCTTCCCTTCTCATATCCCAGATCCAGCTCAGTGTCTGCTTTTCAATCCCCCATATGCCTCTTCTTTATTCACTTAATGCTGCGGCTACTTCCATTGTTTTCTGATTTTCAGTCAGGTCACACACACACACACACACACACACACCCCTAATCCTTCCCACACACAGCAGGCTTCATCCAGGCAGGGGCCAGGTTGGTCATCGCTTACCGCTCTTTCTCCACCACTTAGCATGCGGCTTGAAGGGGCTCAGTGAATATTGGTTGAGTGAATAAGTGCAGCAATGGGGTGCCCAAGAATAAAGGTTCTCTGGGTCTTATGCAGGGGGCTCAGCGCTGTGTTTATTGATACCCCTGGTGTTCTGGCTCTCAGATTGATTACAAAGCTACAGTAGTTTCGTTGAGGAACTTGCAAATTCTGAACTCAAACCTCCAGTAGTAAAGAATCCAGCACCCCCCTAAGTGGTGACCTACTCACTCCTAGCTCCTGTCACCAAAGGTGAGTCAGAGAAAATGTCCTGAACAAACCCCAGTGTTTGGAAAGGCCCCGTGGAGCCCCCAGACCAGGGAGCAAGCTGCCAACTCATCCCCTGCTGCCCACCCTGCTGCAGGCCAGCGCCGAGCAGGCTGCTCCTCTGAGCAAAGCAGACAAGCCGAGGCAAAGCTCAGGGCACAACCAGGGCTAGAGGAGGGCTCGCCACGCTTGGAGGACCTCAGTTCCGGCTTCTGACAGCATCGTCACAATAGAGCCCTGAAGATCCTCTGACAAAACAGGAAGATGCTGCCAGATATGTGAAAGTCCCCTGGCGCTCCTCGACACCTGCAGTATGCTGAGTTTGTATTTTTAATACATTTTGGACATGGCTAGTGAATAACAGAGTTGCGTAAAAAGGGCTGTGTATAATAAGGGCTAACTTGTTCAGTTTAATTATTTAAAACTACACCCATAATCCCAGCACTTGGGAGGCTGAGGCAGGAGGAGTGTAGTGAGTTTGAGGCCAGCCTGGACTACATAGTGAGACCCTGTCTCAAAAGACAAAATAAAGAAAAAAAGCTATGTCCACTTGGAGCCCTGATTGACACCTTTTCATACTTTAATGCTCTAAGAGCCTAAAAATTAAAAAAAAAAAA